TTCTCCTTCAAAGGATGATTGGCTCTGGGACAACCAGAGGTCAGCTTTCTTGGTGACTATCCAGCCTCTGAAATAACAAATTGTCCTTAGTTATGGGTCACAAATAAGGGTAGGATGCTGACCTCTGAGAAGGCACAAACATATCTTTCATTTGCCTTTCTGCTTGCTGTTTGGTTCTCTTTCCAGTTATTCTTGAAAGAGGGAACTGCTGTAGAGACCCAGGGGCTGTAACTAGGGACACCCAAGGTGTGGCTTTCTACTCAGATTCTTTTTAAGTGTACTGTATCATACAAATTTATTAAGTAAAAATAGTTAAAATTCAGATCGATGAGGGTTACAAAGAAATCTTATTTTGTTCTATTTACCTCTTACAGTGCATGTGTCTGTTCCTGCATTAGTATTATAACATTTTGTTTTGAGAATATAAACTCTTCTTTGCAGCTATGGATGGCTATTTGTGCCAGCCTTCTGAATATCTGATATGGTTGTTTATTTGGGAAAGGAATATTTTGTGAATATCTACTATGTGCCTAATTCTGATTTTATAAGGTCATTGCTAAGGTATTGGATAGAACCATGTGAAATTGATGTAGGTTAAGGAAAATTCGAATATTGCTAATTGACATGATTTTGCCCTCACAGAACATATAATTTAGTGGGAAAGATAGACAAATTAGAAGATGTTTATCCAAGAATAAATTTCCTGGAACCACATGAAAGGGTCACTTAGTCCAGCCTTGGAGGAGCAGGGAAAGAAATGTATTCCATGCAGAGAATAGTATGTGCGAAGGACTGGTGATGAGACAAGGCAGGTTGTTTAAGGAACCACTCCTACTTACTAGGGTGGGAACAGTTGCAAAAGGTTGAGAGATGAGGGTAAATTGGTAAATAAGAGCCTACCATACCAAAAAGGCTGTGTCAATGACCACATCACTCAGGATCAGAGCATTAGAAGGAAAGGATCAGGAGTCTGAGCTCCAACTGTCCTAGGCGATTACCCAGAATTTAATACTGCTTTTTAAACAAGAGGGCCCCCTGTATATGCTTCTTTGGTTATGTTCCAGTTCAGAAACTAGATGCAGGCTACCCCTGTTATTTTTAATAGAGGGTCCTTTTTAGTAGAGAAACATGCAGATGTTCTCCGTCCAACACTGCGGAAGACTCAAACTATTCACTTGATCTTCCTGGGCTGTTGTTTCCTCCTCTGTAAATGGAGATAACAAGCCCTGGCTGGCGTAGCTCAGTGGATTGAGTGCGGGCTGGGAATGAAAGTGTCCCAGGTTCGATTCCCAGCCAGGGTACATTCCTGGGTTGCAGGCCATAACCCCCAGCAACCGCACATTGATGTTTCTCTCTCTCTCTCTGTCTGTCTCTCTGTCTCTCTCTCTCTATCTCTATCTCTATCTCTATCTCCCTTCCCTCCCTAAAAGTAAATAAAAAAACAAAATCTTAATAAAAAAATGGAGATAACAATATTGTGCCTCTTACTAGTTCAGAGTCAATCCAATGAGATTCTATAAGCAAAAGTGCTTTGATTTAAGTACTCCAACTTAGTCTCTGTTGCTCAGTGGCTGGTCAGTATTGTACACGAGACAATGAAGGTGGAAGGAATGGGCCCTGGAGTCCCACCATTCACAGGCTGTAAGATATCATCTCTGAGCCTACCTTCCTCACCTGAAAAGGGAGATGACTGTACTGTAGCACAGTTAAGAGGGTTGAAGTAGATCATTTCTGTACCAGAACTTGGTGCCTGGCACTTAGAGAGCAAGCACTTAATAAAAATCCTTTAATAACAAGAGAAATAGAACAACAATATGATTATGCTGTCATTATTCTTGGGCTCCCATTCTTTGATGTTTTCACCTCTCTAAAGCAGAAGAGCCACTGTCATTGGACTGAAAACCTTTCTCCTGCAGCTAGGGACAGGGGACCGTTTTCTGTAGAGCTGTATTTGTTTCTCATGATTTAGCTGCTGTTTAATTGAATTATTAAGTACTGAATCTGACTCCTATAAGTAGACAAGCTCTCTCTCCACCGAAGGCCCCAATAACCATTTGCAAAATGAAAGGAGAGCCAATCAGTGGATTACTGTGCTTTTGGGACACCAAAAATTTAGTTTGTCTGATTTTTGATATTTTTAATTTTGACATCTGACTGACACAGTCTGAGCAACCAGTTAGGAACACCCACAGATCTTGGGCTGATAAATCTACTACTAGGCTTTCACTTGATGTCAATGAACTACAGTCAGTTATTGCAAAATCAAAAATTAAAGAGGGAGAAGAGCAAATAGTTTGGAAATTTATGGCATATTTCAACATCGTATCTGCTGCCTGCCTAAATATTAGTCAGCAGACTACTGGTTGTCCCCAAATGGTGGGAACTGAGATGGAGCTAGAGCCTCACAGCCCTTAAAATATGGTCCTAGTGTAAGCAGCAGCATATACATAAAAGGACTAAAGCAATTATGAAATGTACAAACCATGCAAAATTTATACTACTACTGCAGACATGTTTATTAAAATCCAGTTAAGTATTACTTTTGCTTCAGAAATAGGACATAAGAGCAAATTTATGGAGAGGAGAAGGTCTGGATGACTGTCTCACAGATGTAAAGCTCTTAAGGCAGAGCAGTTTTAATTAAGAATAGGATCCTGTGTGAAGTGTTATACTGAAAATAGATCCTGGGTGGGTGGGGTTCAGTGAAGGGATACATCAATTTCAGACATCTGGAATTCAATTAATAACTCCAGTGCTTTCACATGACAAATGCTACTTTGATATAATCCTGTGGAGGTTCTCAGAATGGAAGTGGGATTTCCATAGTGAGGGAGATTGCAATTGTCCTATGCTGGAGTCCTACATGTTGCCAAAGATGGTCAATTTTGCTTGTTTTTTACTTATGGCCATTTACATAGTCATTTAATTAATGTTTAATGACTAATGAGTATCTGTAAATCATCACCCAAAACAAAAGGTACGATTTCAATAATACCCTACATCTCACAGGCCCACACAACAACCCCAGCCCAGAGCCCCCCAACCCACCACTGAGGAATCCAGCAACCTGAATCCCATGGTCCTCACTGCTTCAGGGTTGTTGTCATTGTTGTTGTTGTTGTTGTTGTTGTTGTTGTTGTTTAGCATAGGTCTAGGCATCTCTATGCATTCCTAGAATGTATATTTTTCAGGGTTATTTTTTTTAACTTCACAAAAGATCATCATGCTGCATATTATCTTTTGGTAGTTATTCTTTTCTTTAATAATATATTGTTAAGACTCATTCATATGGCTTCATTGTCTCCATCAAGCAATCATTTTGATCACTGTCTAATATTCCATTGTATGACTATATCATAGTTTATTCCTCTACTCTCTGATGGATATTGATCATTTCCAGGTTTTTCCCATTTTAATCAGAGCTGCTTTGAACAGTCTCATGCATTTCTTTTGGGTAGATGGTGTGAATAGTATTGCTGAGTCATAGGATTTTGTGAATGTCAGCTTTAGGAGATAAACCAAATTGTTTTCCAAAGAGGCTGCTCCAGTATCGCCTCTGACTAGTGATGCCTAAGTGATCCTGAGGGACCACATCCTCTCAAGCCCAGCATATTGCCAGATTTAGGTGATGCTCATATTCACCAAATTGCTCTTGTGCTGTGCGACTTTAACCACTGGAGCTAGGACTTATGGGCAGGAAGGATTGTGGGAAGGGAGACTCAGGCTCAGAGTGAAGAATAATGGTGCATGGCACAGCTTGTCAGGTAAGAGTCTGACAGGTTCAGGGAGCAGTCTGAGCCTCATCCCTGGAGCATTCAAGCCAGGGCATGAGTTCCCCTTGGAACCAATGGCAGAAGGGAGGCAGGTATCCTGTGGATGCTTCTGCTGGGGAGTGTTAAAAATTAGTATCAAACACTGACTCTACGAACATTTTTATGCTAAGTGAAATAAGCCAGGGGGTGAAAGAGAAATACCATATGATCTCACTGATGAGTGGAACCTAATCAACAAAACCAACAAGCAAACAAAATATAACCGGAGACATGGAAATTAAGAACAGACAGTAAACAGAGAAGCAGTGGGAGGGAATAATGGGAGAAAAGGGAGAAAGGTTTTCAGGAACATGTATAAAGGACACATGGACAAAACCAAAGTGGGGTAGGATCAAGGGTGGGAAGGGATGGCTGGGGTGAATGGGAGTGGTGGGGGGAAAATGGAGACAACCATACTTGAACAATAACTTTTAAAACATTAAAAAATATATTTGCTTCTGGGCTTTTGAATCGATACCTGAAGTGATAAAAAAACTGTTTTAAAGTATTTTGATCTTTTATGCTTTAAAATCAACCAAATAAACTTCCTTAAACCCTTCAGTGGCACAGAGGTGAGATTAATTAAATGATTAGGATTCTCAAAAGATTTTTATGGGCTGTTCATTCATACAGGTGTAACTCCCAACAGTAATATTTTCAGCTTTAATGGGATAGCAAATATAATATTTTAAAAATATAGCTATATTAGGTATATGTATATGAGCCAAGCCTAGGATTTATATATATAAATAATTTATAGTATTTATATTTTATATATTTATAATTTATATTGTGGACATTATTTATATACTATTTATATTTATAATATAAATATCAATCCCAGGCATGGTTCTTTCTACAGTGCCTCTTGAGCATCTCAGTAATGAATGATTGGGAGGTTAGATACATAGTTGGAAGCTGAAAAATGAGAATATCTCTTTTCTAACCTGATGCTTTGAAATAGTCACAAGTCTGGCATTGTATCTTAATTTTTCACTGTGGTGGTGAAGTATATGGGTTTGCAGTTGCCTTGCATCTCTGCTGTCGGTGCTGATTTCTGGATTATGGTCTATTATAGGTTATATAAAATTGAGTTTGCAACAAGGAAACACTCATTTCCTTGCATTTAAGAAACCCCCATTTCTTTCCATTTAAATATTCTGGCTTAAAAAATTTAAAAAGATGTTTACACTAACCTGGAAGGGGAAATAGCATGATCACGAAGGCAGTTTTCCCAGGGCAAGGCTGTCCATTGCATCACAGGTGTGCTGACCCCTGCGATTTCTCCATGTGGGAGCCTCAAGTGTGTAATTTATAGTGGTGGATAGAAAAACAGACACCGGAAATCCTGTGTGACAAAGATCTGCTGTCACACATGGTAAGCTTAGCATTTCAGCTACATCTAAGGCTTTGTATCTTCATTAAAGAAGGTTTTAAATGAAATAGAGAAAGAGGCATTTGGGAAAGGTTGGCTCCTAACTTGTTTGTGCAACTCACATGGGCCAAGCTCTTTGAAGGGCATCAGAATAGCTCCATCAGAAGTGAAGGAATTTGTGAGTGACAGAGGGGAGGTTATTCCCAAGGGATACAGTTTTGTAACCAGAGGCAGAATGACAGTCTTGTGGAAAGAAGGGATTTTGAGTAATCCAGCAGAGTGGTAAGTACCCTTGGAATACAAATTTCACATTAGGCATCTGCCAGTACATGGGTGGGTTCCAGGCACCTGGCTGGATGGTGCTGGGTAGCTTGCGTAGCTGTGCCAAACATATGGTGACTGTTTGGAAAGAAGTTTGTGAGGTCAGCCTGCTCCGCAGCAGTCACCACTTGTGCAAATAGTTTGCCGTTTACCTGCTTTTCTGTGGACAGTTTCCTAATAGCAGGCCTGATGTCAAGGTGAGAGAGAGGCCCAGGAAGTACAAATCAAGCCAGACTGCCATTGGTCATGCTCAGAGCCAAAGCTGGGCCCAGCCGCTCTGGTGGGCCTCTCCACCTTCCCTCACCTAGTCTGGATTTACTGCGTTTCCACCTGTTTATCATTCTTCTGAGCCTAGCAAAAGCAGGTGCTTAACAAGGGTGATGTGACTTAATGAATCACCAATCCCTCTCTCTTCTGGCCCCTAGAGCTAGAGGAAGGGTGTTTTCCCTCTTCTCTACTCGCCTTTTGCCCTCTCTTTGGACACTTCCTCTCTCTGTGTCAGCACTGCTCTGCAGCCAGCTCACAGACCATGCAGATACCTCTGTCCTTCCTCTGGGTATTAGCACTTTCTGACCCCTCTCAGTTTAACTGTCACCTCCTCAGAGCAGTGTTCCCTGACCACAATGTCTAATGTAGTTCTCCTTATTATTCTCTCTCATGGTAGTAACAGATTTGATTACTTGCTACTTGCCTGTCTTCTTGCCTAGAAAGGAAGCCTCCTACAAGGCACTAAGCCTTGTCTGGCTTGCTCCCCACTGCATGGTTCAATTCACTGTGCCAGCACATGGTGGACATAGTACTATCAGCTGAATAATTGAATGAGTTCTGCAGAGAAACAGGCCTTTGATGCATAGGGGACCTGTACTGTATAGATCCCCAAACTGGTTCAGCTTCTCTAAATAGGTTTTATCTTGAGGGCTCAGTCATTGCTGCCAGGATCATGGTGTGAGCACGAGTCTGAGGCCACGTTTATGGTGGCATATTTTTTATTGCATTTTCTGTGTTGGTTTAACTTCTCACAGTGCTGACATTCTACCACCCTAAGGATTGCTATCTTGCCTGGACCATGCTTCTAAACGTTCTCTAAAGTGCCTTTGAAAAATGAAGCCATAATGTATATGAAACAAAGGTTTAGAAGATTCAAACAAAACCAGAAATTGGTCCTTTGCCTTTTCCCTTTCCTCATTCTGAGTGCTGCAGGTTGACATTGCTCTAGGAATAAAGGACAACCCTCTCGCTCCAGCACCAATATCCCAAACACGGGGGAACAGCTTACAGAATATAACTGGCTAAGAAAATTGCTTTTGGTATAAATCTTTCCTTCTCCCAAGTTTGCTGCAGCACAGACCTTCCTTTCAGAAGGACTTTCATTTCATTTCTCGGTGAGCATGTTTTTAGAAACAGGAGGCCCAAGGAAATCAAACTGGTAGAAATCTCTAGTCCCTGATGCTTCCCCAGTTTCTTACCTGTTGAAAAACCAGGAAAGTTCAGATGGAATGGAGCCTGGGGCAGATGCTGGTCATCAGCAGTATTTACTGACGACTGACCTGAGATGTAAGTGCCTTTCCAGAGGAGACACCCAGCGGGACCCTGACCCAGCCAGTGTGGGGCACGATCTCTGTTTGTAGGTTCTGTGTTTTTTTTTCCCCCATACTGCCTTATCAACCATGTTTTCTGAAATGTTAACTAAAAGAATACTCCCAAGAATTTACAGAGTGGATTCATGAGTACTCTAGGAGCCACACACTGTATTTCTAATCCCAGCAAATATTGTTCCTAAGTAGCCATGTGATGGAAGTTCCTAAGAGACAGATGTTTCATCTGGAAACTGGGGATGAAGTGAGTTGAGAGGGGAAGTGCAATTCAGTGGCACATCTGACAAATGCTTTTGGAAATTCTTCTACTGGGTGTCAGACACAGCAAGCAGTGAGGATACAAAGAAGGGTATTTCTGTGATTTGGTGATTTCTACCATGAACCTGGGAGCTAGACAGGAGTTGTTGTTTTTTTTGTTTTGTTTTGTTTTTTTGCCAAATTAACTATTGTTGAGGGCTTATTATAATTTGAAGAGGAACGGACTACTGGGTGAATGCAACTGATTGCTCTACTCCAGGCCGAGCTGTTGCTCTAATGGGCTTTCTCGCTTTCCATCTGAAATGCTAGGCCCAGCCACTAGGCAGGATCAGTCTCATCCTTACAAACATGAAGCTCATGACAGTAAGCTCTGAAGAAAACCCCAGCAGTGGGGCATTCTAGGAATAAGTCAAGATTGCACTTCATTCTGTGCAGATAATTCTCAAATACAGTGATTCACATGTTATCCCACCAGGACTCCCACACCTATAGTCTGGTTTCCAAGTCCTGTTCCTTAACCCCCTGATGTCTTGTAAGGAAGTTCGGGATGGTGGCCAGCCAGGAGGCAGTGCAGCAGATCCAGGAGGCCCTTTCTCTTTAACTTTTCTCAGGTTTCAGGTTCACCCTTGATTGCTCCCCTGGCAGGAAGTGAATCATTGGATGTTTTAATTGAAATCAGCTCTGCACAGGACCAGAAGCCAGAGTCATTCTTTTCTGAGTTGCTTCTAACAAGCTTCCCAAGGACAGCCTACAAGTCCAATGAATTAAAGCGATTTTCTGACAGCAGGGGTGAGATGCCCACCTTGGTTTGCACAGGTTTTACAGGGTATATAGGGTGCTCTGCAGACCATGCTCAGTGCCGTCAGTTAAGGAATATCTGGTCCAAACTGTGATGCTGGCACCATCTCATTCGTTGCTTTGGTGATTGGCTTGACAATGTGATATTTTAATGTATAATTGGATAAGCAATTGGGTTCTGCTATAGTACAGTGGTTTGGCATAATTATTTTCCAGTGCTGTGATTTCCTAGTTAATAAATACTTCTGGGGGTTACAAATTCTTAAACATCAAGACTTGATACTCCTTTAATTAAGAGCTTATTTCAGCATTTTGGCCCCATTGGCAGTGCTAAAAAACTTTGTTTTACTGAAGTAAGTTGGGCTTAAGTCAGAGGTTGGGCAACTAATCAAATGATGAATGCTTTGTTGATTGCCTGAGTTTCTCTTCACAAAGGGCAAAGAACTGAGTTTGATTGCACTTAAAGGTCTCACCAGCCAGCAATCAGTATAGGGTTCCAGCTCATAAGACCCCTCATAGAGGGAGCAAGGAGGAAGGCAATTAACATTTTGATACAAAGGAATAGTTGAATAACCTCAGGGTTCTAAGGAAGCAAAAGTGGTGGCCAGAAGTTGGTGGCACAACACTATTTTTTTTTTTTTGTACCAAGTGAAAGCATGAAGTGATTGATTAGGACACCAAAAAAGCCAAAAATGAGTGACTGTCTGCCCAATAACCAGCACTTAGAGAAAAAGCATTTGGTGTTTAGAGAGGAAACACAGGCTCGAAAGATGCTGACTCTGTGTGTTGTGTATGTGTGTGTGTGTGTGACCGACAGAGAAAGTGAGACAACATCCAAAATCATGAATGATAGCTCAACACCAGCTAAATGGCCCCAGAAGGTGACCTGGGGACATGGAGACTTTGGGAAGTGTAAGACTGAAGAGAGAGAGGCACGTACTCTGCAGGAAGGGACTGATTTTTCACACTAGTTTAGAGCAGCCAAGATCAATGTGTGCCTTACAAAGTGCCAGGAAGGAAGCAATCAGAGGCCCAGTCTGTCTACTGGGCCGGCAGAGCCCCACTCCCAGCTGCTCACGTTGCCTTGGATTCACCACCACGCTGCTTCATGGGGCTGCTGAGCCCTTTTCCAACCCTCCTGCTCCCATCACTTCTTGTCTGGCTGCTTCTGTCTCCCTCTAATTCATTCTCCAGCCAGGCCACTTTTTAGGAAAAGTATTCTGATCCTTTTACTTCCCTGCTTCTAACCCTTTCATATATTCTTGGCACCAAAAATAAAATCCAAATTTTTTAGCTATTCCCACAGGCTGCAAATAATCTTCCCTCACTCTTTTAGCCAGTCCCTCAACCACCAAGCTCCCTTTTTCCTGGACATTCTATGCTTGCTGTTCCCTTTGCTTGAAATACTCTTTCTCCCAGCATTTTGTTTAAGGGATTTCTAATCATTATTTACCTCTCAACTTAAATGTCAGCTCTTCAGTGAGGCCTTCCTCCACACCCCTGCCCAAAGTTCTGCCATCCTAGCAGACAGACCACTGTGCTCTGTTTTCTTTGGAGCTCTTATAATATCAAATTGTTTTGATATCCAAGATCTGCAAAAAAAAACCCAAGAAACTGAATCTTCCTGCATTTCAGCCCAGCAGAAACAACCATGCCCTCATTTGAGGGGTCGTCACCCCTCACTCAGCTGCTATTGCCCCCTCTGGGGCATCTCCCAAGCTTCATGCCATGTGCAATGCCATGTTTCCCACACTGTTTACTTAATATTTTTCCAATTAACTCTTATTTGGAACTTAAATAGATTTACTTTAAAAATAAAGTTTGAGATGACATCATAAGCAGGAGATAATTCTAAAAATAAACATAATCTAAACCAGCCATTTTCAACCGGTATGATGCAAACAATTTTAAAACATGCAATACCTGACTATTTAGTCAGGGACACTGACCTTTTTTCCCTTAGATTTTCAAGTAAAAAAAAATGACAACAGCTAACACAACCA